TATATATATATATATGTGTGTGTGTGTGTGTGTGTGTGAGTATGTATGTATGTGAGGGGGTTCATCATTTGTATTGACAGCAAAAAACGACCCAGCAGCTGAGTTACAGAAAAACTACCCAGCACCTGGCTAAAAAATATAAAAAATAACCCAATAAAATGACACAACAAGCTGAACCCAGCATTTGGGTTCAAAAATACTCTAAAAACTTTTTAGAGTGTACTTGAGAGGTGCAATGAACTCCAATGACTTCCATAGTCTCCAGATCACAAAAGAGTACCTCTGGGATGTGGAGAAAGGCAGTTTCACATCATGAATGTGTCTCTAAATTAGATCAGTGAAACTGATCTGGATGCAGAGCATACTGCAGCTTCTGCCATTATCTTCCGGGTGTGGGTCCCTTGAATCTCTCTATAAAAGCAGAACCCAACCTCTGTGTGGCGCACACAGAGCTGTAACTGAGCTGTCTACAATGAGCATCCTTTGGCATATCACTTTCTGCTACTGCTGCGTTCCTGCACCCCAGGTATTCACATCCAGTCTACTTTAGTAATTACAACAGGTTGTTTATCAGAATAAGCCATGAAATAGTTTCATAGGACTAAACTCTTTATAGGTTTCTTTATACATGGCATCGTTGGTGGCAAAGTCTCCGTTCCCCACAGTTGACCCTACATGGTCATAAGCAGTTCTACAGAATGCAGCAATGTCGTTATTGAGCTCAAGTCAGTTCAATGGTGATTCGATTGAGTTCAATAAGTGCCAATGTTGCAAGACGTGATTCAGCTATCAAGCAGCTCTACAGAATAAGTCATTATTCAGCTTAATTCAGTTCAAAAGTTTTATTCTCATCCAATGGTATCAGTGCAGTCATATCGATAATATTACTGAATATTGAGTGTCTTTTACATTGGTGACTTTTGACATTCAAAGCGGCAGTCATGTTGCTGTATTATAAATATTAATAACTTTGTAAATCTGGCCTTTATGATGTCTATATTTATTTATTTATTTATTTGTTGTTTTTGTCATTTTTAGTCATCTTATGGTCTATTTGGGGGTCAGTGACACAAACTTTTTACCTGACGGTATAGAGGTAGATCCCATTCCACATCCAAAATTTAATATGAAGAGAAAAGGTCATGACATCATGCTTCTAAAGGTAATATATAATGTTGAACTATTTTATTATTTCAATTTCATAATTACCATCACACTCTGAAAAACGGCCTTTCATGATAGGAAATGCATTACCTTTAAAAATCAGAAAAACAGTTAAAGGAATGTTACCAATTGAAGCAAGAACTTTGCATCTTCTCTTTCAGCTCAAAACTCAAGCAACTTTGAACAAAATTGTGGGTACTATCACTTTGCCAAATTCTGAGAATGAAGAAATCGCAAAGGACTGCATGGTCATGGGTTGGGGCTGGAAGAAATACCATGACGAGTCTCCATTAAATGTGCTCAAAGAAGCAAACGTGACTCTGATAGACTCTGAAAACTGTGGCACTGCTGACGCTCTGTGCACTGAGGGATCAACTGGAACAGCACAGGTATTTCAAGTGCCACCACTCACAAATTCTTATCTAAAGTATATCAGTGTCATTGCAGCCTGGTATACTAATAAACAAATGATATAATCCACAGGGAGACGGTGGGGGTCCACTTGTTTGTGGAGGTGTTGCACAGGGAATTTTGTCTTTTTCCAAAAACAAGGAGAACGCAGACCACTTCATAGGATACACTCATATTTCCCACTACATTCCATGGATTCAGAGCATCATGCCGCTTGACATGCCAGAAATGTTAGATCAAGTCTCCCGGCCAGGATTATTAAATCCAACCCCCGGACATTTGACCCCAAAACCTAATAAACACCAAGTCTTGTCTGGTACCCAAAATCAGTGCATTTTTACTTCATTTTGTCTAGAACCCTAAACTGTATTAAATCATCTCAGCCAAAAAATTGACTAAGGAAGCCAGGGAGGAGCAGAAAGCAGGAGTCAAAGTACAGATAATAATAATAAAAAAAAAAAGAACAGTCTTTATTGAATAATCTTAGCTTCATGTTTCAATGCACAGACTTATGCTCAGAATATGCTGTTGAATAGTTTCATAGAACTAAACTCTTTTTTTATGTTTCTCCATGCATGATGGCATCGTTGGCGGTAAAGTCTCCGTTCCCCACAGTCGACCCTATATGGTCTACATTCGTGATAAGATATCAAAATTAGCATGTGGTGGTTTTTTGGTAAGAGAGGATTATGTGATGACAGCTGCCCACTGTAAACAAAGGTAGGTGAAATTATCATATTTTATACTTTTATCAGAAAGGGTAAACAGTTTGGTGTTGGTTCAGTTCAGTTTAATAAGTGTAAATTTCATCGATCTTGAAACAAGTTCAATTCAGCTATAAGCAGTTCTACAGAAAACAAGTCATTATTCAGCTTAATTCAGTTCAAATTTTGTTCTCATTCAATGGTATCAGTGCAGTCATATTGATATTACTGAATATCAAATATTTTTTCAGACATTCAGTTGCAGTCACACCACTTTATTGCAAATCTTTTTTTTTTCTTTTGTTGTTGTTGTCATTTTTAGTCATCTTATGGTCTATTTGGGGGTCTATGACACCAACTTTTTACCTGACGGTATAGAGGTAGATCCCATTCCACATCCAAAATTCAGTATGGAGAGACCAGATCATGACGTCATGCTTCTAAAGGTAATATATAAGATTGAACTATTTTATTATTTCAATTTCATAATTACCATCACACTTTGAAAAACGGCCTTTCATGATAGAAATGTTACCAGGGGTGTGAAGTAACGAATTACAAATACTCACGTTACAGTAATTAAGTAGTTTTTATCAGTAATTGTACTTTTTTGAGTAGTTTAAAAATTGTGTACTTTTACTTTTACTTGAGTACATTTTAAGTGATGTATCGGTACTTTTATTCCGCTATTTTCCTCAGTTTATGGTCGTTATGCTTATTTTAATTTTATTTTTATCCATCAACGTGATTGGATAGAGAGTAATAGGTCTCGTGACTTTCGTCAAATCAAATTGTGCATAGAAAACTTTAACCGCCAACTGTTTATCATGGCTGCTGGAAACGCATTCTTCAAGCATCAATTCTGTCGCATCTTCCTCTAACTTA